TATACATACAATATAGAGACCCTACCTACAGTGGTGCAGTTGGGTGGGTACTACTGCAGGATGACTGAGGTCACATGGGAGGCCCAAGTTTCATTTCTGGCCCAATCTAAACAGCCCGGGTGTGGTAGTACACACCTGTGGTCTTAAGTAACTAGTAGGTTGGGGAAGGAATATCTTGACTTGGTGAAACCCTGTTAAAAATAAATCTCCCTGGGAACCAGCAATTAGCGTAATGGCTATGTCGCTGGACTCCCACGTAGTCGACCGCGGTTCGTGTCCCAGACCCGGTGGCTTAAAACTCACGCTGGGTGAGTGTGCCTGTGTGCCCAAGATCCCGAGAGGAGAATGGAGGAGAAGTGATTGCGTCGTGACCATCCCCTCTGGGGGGTGATTTCTCACTTTCTGTCTCTATGTCTCTCTCTGTCTGGCGAGCGCATGCGCCCTACAGTGAAAACCTCTCCAAAAAAAATTTTTTTAAATAAATAAATAAATAAATCTCCCTTGGCCTAGTGGTTTAGAGAGCCGGATCCTATAGCTGACACAGTTTAAGTACTGGCCTTGGTGGCTTGAGAAACATATGTCAGGTGTGTGTGCCCAAAGTCCCAAAAAGGGGGGCCAGTAGGTGGCATGGTGGTTAAGGGCGCTGGACTCCCACATGGCTAACTGCAGTTTGAATCCTGGACCTGGTGACTTGCTTTCTCACTCCCCCCCTCCTCATTCTGTCTCTCTCTGGTAAAATTTAAATAAATAAATAAAGTTAAATAAAATAATTCTTTTTTAAAAAATCCCAGAAAAATGGAGAAATGATGTGACCACATTCCAGTAGAAGTGCTTTCTTCCTTTCCCTCTCTCACTCTGTCTTAAACATGTGCCCTCTGGCAGCTTATTCAAAGTACCTCTCTCTTTGTCTCTTTTCCTTCTTCCTTCTCTCAGTCCCCCTCCCTCAACCCTTATTTAAATAAAAAATTCTTGTACTGGAGATGATACCATCAAGTAAGTGATAAAACAGGGACCAGCAGATGGTGTAATGGTTGTCGCTGGACTCCCACATAGTTGACTACAGTTCAAGTCCTGGACCTGGAGGCTTAAAACTCACACCGAGTGTGTGTGTGTGTGCCCAAAATCCTGAGAGGAGAATGTAAGAGGAGAGATTGTGTGGTGTGGCCATCCCCTTTGGGGAGGGTGATTTCTTGGTTTTTGTCTTTCTCCAGTGAGCACACATGCCCTATAGCAAAATCTCTCTTTGAAAAAAGAAAAGAAGGGGCCGGCAAGTGGCGTGGTGGTTAAGGGTGCTGGATTCCCATATGGCCAACCGCAGTTCAAATCCCAGACCTAGTGGCTTGCTAAGAAAAGTAAATGATAAAAATGATGTATAAGAATGGAAGAGCAGCATTTGTAAATCATATGCCTAGGACTTCAAAAACTTTGTGGAAAGGGCCAGCAGATGGCTTAGTAATTATGTTGCTAGACTCCCACATGGCCAATCGTGGTTCGAGTCCCGGACCTGGTGGCTTGAAAATTATACTGGTCATGTGTGTGTACATGTCCAAGATCCCAGGAGGAGAATGGAGAAGAACAGATTGTGACTTGACTACCCCCCCATCTCCCCCGAGAGAGGTGGTAATTTCTCACTTTCTCTCTCTGTCTCTCTCTATCTCTCTCTCTCTGGCAAGTGCACAGACCCTAGTGTCAAAAACCTCTAGAAAGCAAACAAACAAACAAAATGGAATTTGCTGCTGAGCTATCCCTGGAGCCTGCTGGTTAAGGGAGTTACATCTCACATGCCCGACAACAGTTTTTTGGTTTTTTCTTTTTGGAGAGGTTTTTGCTATAGGGTGCATGCGCTCACCAGAAAGACAGAGAGAGACAGAATGATAGAAAGCAAGAAATCATCCCCCAGGGGTGATGGCCACGCCTCAGTCCCTTCTTGATTCTCCTCTCAGGTTCTTGGGCATGCATGCACACATGCCCGGCGTGAGTTTAAGCCGCGGGTCTGGGACTCGAACCATGGTCGACTACATGGGAGTCCAGCGACATAGCCATTATACTCAACTGCTGGTCCCCAAGCTGACAACAGTTTTGAGTCCTGGCCCCAGTGGCTTAATAAACACATCGGAGGCTGGCAGGTGGCGTGGTGGATAAGGGCACTGGACTCCCACATGGCTGACCATGGTTCATCTCCCAGACATGGTGACTTACTTTCTCAATTTGCCTCTCTCTTGCTCTTTCTCACTCTGTCCCTCTCTGGTCAAATTTAAATAAACAAAGTTAAAGAAAATAATTCTTAGGAGGGGCCGGCAGGTGTCATGGTGGATAGGGGCTCTGGATTCCCACATGGCCAACCATGGTTCGAGTCTCGGACCTGGTGGCTTGCTTTCTCACTTCCTCTCTCTCTCTCTGTCTCTCTCTGATCAAACTGGAAAATAATAATGATAATAATAGTAAATAAAGTTAAATAAAATAATTCTTAAAAAATAAAAATAAAAAAATAATTCTTAGGAAAAAAATCACATCGGGTACATTTGCATGCCTGTCCAAGAGGAGAATGGAGGAAGGATTGAAGTGAAGCTATTCCCCAGGGAGTAATTTCTCATCCTCCCTTTGCCAAGGTGGTTGGGTTCCATATGGACAAATGGGCGGATTGAGTCCTGAACCCTATGGCTTGAAAAACATGTCAGATAATTGCATACGTGCATCCCCAAAATCCTGAGAGAAAGGGAGAAGAGATAGCAATAGCCTTCTTACAACCTTCTATCCCATGCTGGGGAGTGCTTTTGCACTCTCCCACCCCCATCCCATTTATCTTTGGGGAACTTACGTGCCCGATAGCAAATTTTTTTTTAAAAAAAAAGTGAGTTTTTGGGAACCAGCAGTTAGTGTAATGGCTATGTCGCTGGATTTCCACGTAGTCGACCGCGGTTCGCGTACCGGACCCGGTGGCTTAAAACTCACGCCGGACGCGTGTGCGTGCATGCCCAAGATCCTGAGAGGAGAATGGAGGAGAAGGGATTGAGGCATGACCATCCCCCCTGGGGGGTGATTTCTTGGTTTCTGTCTCTATGTCTCTCTCTGTCTGGCGAGCGCACGCGCCCTATAGCAAAAATCTCTCCCAAAAAAAAAGTGAGTTTTTAAGACTATTTTAGAGGACCAGCAGATGATATAATGATCACATTGTTGGACTCCCACATAGTCGTGGTTCAAGTTGGTTCATGTGGTTCAAATGTTGGGCCCTGGGACTTATGCTGTGTACATGCATTCCCAAAAATCCCTGGAGGAGAAGGGAGTGTGGTGCGGCTATTCCCCTGGGAGGTGATTTCTCACTTTGTCTCTGTTTCTCCTGTGAGTTCTCGTGCCCTATAGTAAAAATCTCTCTTTAAAAAAAAAAAAAAAAGGCTATTTGAGAATGACTTACTATCAAAAGAAACTCTTGGTTAGATTTTCCTCATGAGCCATGTAAGAATACACAGAATGTAATTGGATAGCTAAATGCACTTTCATCATCTTTTGTTTGTAAGAAGATAGAATTTAATCTTAGGAGGAAGAGAGAAACTAACTGTGGGTTAAATGAAACTTGAACTTTTAAAAAGAATTATTTATTTAGTTTTACTTATTCATTCATTTTAATTTGACCAGAGAGAGAGAGAAGGTGAGAGAGGGAAAGTGAGAAAGCAAGCCACCAGGTCTGAGACTTGAACCATGGTCAGCCATGTGGGAGTGTCCAGTATCCCAACTACCACACTACCTGCTGGTCTCTGAAACTTAAACTTCTTTTGGACTATACTAAGTGTTCAAATCCTCCAGAACCATGTTATTGATACTTAGTATAAAAATAAAGTGGAGAGTTGTGAGTTATTTTAAAATATCTAGAGTTTAATGTACCATTAAATTTTCTTTTCATTTTTCTGCAAAGATCTGATAAGTAGAAAAACATATACTTTCTCAAAGAAGTCACAAATATATTGCTCAAATAATTTGCTTTGTTTTCTTTTGAACACTTGATGAATGTGAGTCTTAGAATTATTTTATTTGACTTTATCTTTTTATTTACTTAAATTTGACCAGAGAGGGACAGAGTGAGAGAGAGGGAATGTGAGAAAGCAAGCTGCCAGGTCTGGGACTTGAACCATGGCCACGTAGGAATTCAGTGCCCTTAACAACCATGCCACTTTCCAGCCCCAATAAAATAATTCTTTTTTTTTTTTTAAGGTCTTTTTTGCTATAGGGCATGTGCGCTCTCCAGAAAGACAGAGAGACAGAAAGCGAGAAATCACCCCCTTGTCCATTCTCCTCTCGGGATCTTGGGTATACACGTACACGTGCCTGGCGTGAGTTTAAGCCACTGGCTCTGAGACTCGATCTGCAGTCGACTGTGTGGGAGTCCAGCAACATAGCCATTATGCCAACCACTGGTCCCAATAAAATAATTCTTAAAAAAAAATTAAGCAGAACTTCGGGTCTGGTCAAAATGTTTATCTTATTGACATGAATTTTCAAGATTGACATGAATTTTCAAGATGTTTTAACTCATCCTTTTTTCATTTTTATTGAGTATCTTATTCGTGTTTTAAGCAATTTCTCTCAGACTCATACGCAATTTAGGTTCCTCATCTTTTTTTTTTTTGGAGAGGTTTTCGCTGTAGTGCGCTTGCGCTCGCCAGACAGACAGAGACATACAGACAAAAAGCAAGAAATCACCCACCAGGGGGGATGGTCACGCCGCAATCCCTTCTCCTCCATTCTGCTCTCGGAATCTTGGGCACGCACGCACACGAACCTGGCGTGAGTTTTAAGCCACTGGGACGCGAACCACGGTCGACTACGTGGGAGTCCAGCGAAATAGCCATTACACTAACTGCTGGTTCCCTAGGTTCCTCATCTTAACTATACCCATTATCATATTGTTGATAAATGAACTAGGATTAAATGGGGAATGCTAAGTTATGGTGTTAGGTATAAGGTGGATATTGCGGCATGATTATTTTTCTCTTGTTCTTTTTCAGTGTTCCATTGGCAAGCTACAATAATGGGGCCAGTAAGTATTCAGATTAATTTCAGGATAGACAGTTTATATAATTTATCCATTTTAATCCTGCCTTTTTTGTCTTCAACAGAATGACAGTCCCTATCAGGGTGGAGTTTTTTTCTTGACAATTCATTTCCCAACAGATTACCCCTTCAAACCACCTAAGGTAATTGAGCTGTGCCAACTGTTTTTATGTGCTTCCTCTTCTACAAATAAATTGGTTTACAAAAAACTTTCCTTTTTTCTATAGGTTGCATTTACAACAAGAATTTATCATCCAAATATTAACAGTAATGGCAGCATTTGTCTTGATATTCTACGATCACAGTGGTCTCCAGCACTAACTATTTCAAAAGGTAATGGGATAGACATTCACTATCAAGACAAAGCAGCTGTATTTTTTGACTTGTTAAGGCTATACACTTTTAAAAGATTGCTTATGTTACTTTAAGAAGAAAAATCAGGGGCCAGCAGGTGGCGTGGTGGTTAAAGGTGCTGGACTCTCACATGGCCGAGCTGGACTCTCACATGGCCGACCGTGGTTCAAGTCCTGAATCTAGTCGCTTGCTTTCTCACTTTCCCTTTCTTTCTGTGTCTGTATGATCAAACTGGAAAGTAACAATAATAATAAATAAAGTTAAAATAAAATAATTATTAAAAAAAAGAAAAATCAAATACAATAATGAGTTAGCGTGTTTAAAATCTAAATAATATAAATAAACAGTAAGAATAAAACCTATATCCCAATAGATGCATGGACAAAAAGGAATCATATGGTATAACATCCTTGGAAAATAATCTGGCACTTCCTTATAGAGTTGAATATATACTTACTATACGATCTAATGATGCCACTCCCAGGTAGTTACCCAAGATAAGCAGAAACATTTATCTCTGCGAAGAATTGTAAATTGCCCTCCAGGATACCTTATTTGTAGTAGTTTAAAAACAGAACTATCTCTAAGTAGGTGAGGGGATAAACCACTTATGGGATATTCATAAATGGAATGATATGCAACAATAGGTTTGAACTATTGAAACATACAAAAACTTGAGTGAATCTCAAAAACAAGCTGATCCAAAGAAGTAAAAAACTATACATTAAGTGAAGTTGATGTAAAGTTCTACAACAGGTAAAACTGATTAGAAATATGTCAGATCAGGACCAGCAGGTAGCATGGTGGTTAAAGTGCTGGACACTCCCACATGGCCGACCAGGGTTCAAGTCCTGAATCTGGTGGCTTGCTTCCTCACTTCCTCTCTCTCTCATTCTTTTTTTTTTTTTTTGAGAGGTTTTCGCTACAGGGTGCATGCACTCACCAGACAGACAGACAGAGATATAGAGACAGAAAGCAAGAAATCACCCCCCAGGGGGGATGGTCACGCCGCAATCCCTTCTCCTCCATTCTCCTCTCGGGATCTTGGGCACGCACACACACACACCCAAGTGTGAGTTTTAAGCCACCAGGTCTGGGACGCGAACCGCGGTCGACTACATGGGAGTCCAGCGACATAGCCATTACGCTAACTGCTGGTTCCCTCTCTCTTGTTCTCACCCTCTATCTCTCTCTGCTCAAACTAAAATAAATAAATAAAATAAAATAAATAATTAAAAAAAGAAGAAATATGTCAAATCAGTGGTTGTTTGAAGGAGAGCATGAAGTTGAAAATAAACGAAGAAATCTTAGAGAATTTCCTGGGATAGTTCATTTGTTCTGTATTCTCCTGATTGATATATGTATTAGTCAAAATTCATTGGACTGTTACTTTTTTTTTCTTTAAGAATTATTTTATTGGGGGCTGGCAGGTGGCGTGGTAGTTAAATGACTAGACTCCCACATGGCCAACCATGGTTCAGGTCCTGGACCTGGAGGCTTGCTTTCTCACTTTCTTTCTCTCTCTCTCTGTCTCTCTCTCTCTCCCTTTCTCCCTCCCCCCTCCTTTTTCTCTCTGGTCAAATTAAAAAAATAATGATAAATAAATTTTTTAAAAAAAGAATTATTTTATTGAACTTTATTTATTCATTTATTTTTATTTGACCAAAGAGGGACAGTGAGAGAGAAAGAGAGATTGAAAGTGAGAAGGCAAACTGCTAGGTTGGTCATATGGGAGTCCAGCGCCCTTAACCACCATGCCACCTGCCAGCCCCAAACTGTTACTTGTTATGTATCTTATTATATGTAAGTTATATAATTATGGAGAGCAGCCAGTCTTAAAATATGTGATTAAAACATGTGGCCTGTAGACACATGCAGAAACTTAACTTTTGTAAGCTACTTTAGCAGGGCTATTGAGAAGCATTTACATATGAAAGCAGTATTTGCTTGTTGTCCATGGTTATTTTTCTAGTGTTTGTTGATACCCAATACCCCACTGGGCTGAAAGAAATCACATGCATTTATCAGATTGTCTCCCAAAAAAGGATCAGAGAAATTATATGGCGCAGTCATTTACACATCTTCAGATGATCTTCATCCCAAAACAACTGGCTTTCTATTCCAATTTCTCCTCCCCTACTCTCTTTGCATTCCACTTCCTTCTTCCCCATTCCCTTTGTATCCCATTTTCCCCTTCCCCCATTTTCTGCCCTTTAAAAAAATAAAGCTGAGACTGGTTCTAGTTGCAGCTTCTCCATCAGAGAAGCAGTGCCCACCCAATCCTTGCTTTTCTATACTTGTATGTCTTTGTGTGTTTGTTACTGCATCTATTTCTAATCCACAGCCTTCCCCGCTCAAAAAAGCATATTTCTGCCAAGCTGGTCCTGACAAAGTGGTGCCCAACATGGAGCCTGAGTACGGGGGGGAAAAAAGTCAAGCTAGTGGACACTCCTTGCAGCCTGCCAAATATTACTGAGTAAAATAAAAATCCTATAAAATAAGATAAAATTAAAAAAAAATACTAGAGTAAAAAAAACCCATAATAATAAAAAAAAGAAAAAATATCAAAGTAAAATTTAAAAAAAAGGGCAAAAAAAAAGTAAATTCTGTTATTCTTAGGTGTAAGCTGGTCCTGGCATGTAATAGTTGACTTTAAAACTGAAAAATAAATCATTTTTCTTTAAAAAAAGTTAATTTAACTTCCCGTTTTTCATCTTTTTAGTTAATAAACTATTTATTTTTGAAAATACAAAAATGTATTTATCTTTTTTACCAAATGGCTAACCATAAAGACACAATTTTTGCCTTAGAGTTTAAGGCTGTTTTTTTCCCCCACAGTTACTTTCTCTAAAACAGCATCCTAGAGGGGACCAGCAGTTGGCGTAATGGCTATGTCACTGGACTCCCATGTAGTCGACCGTGGTTCAAGTCCCAGACCCAGTGGCTTAAACTTAAGCCGGGCACGTGTACATGCGTGCCCAAGATCTCCTAGGGGAGAAGGAATTGCAGCATGGCAATCCCCCCTGAGGGGTGATTTCTCGCTTTCTGTTTCAGTCTCTTTCGTTCTCTCTAGTGAGCGCATGCGCCCTATAGCAAAAACCCCTCTCTAAAAAATATTAATAATAAAAATAAAGCAGCATCCTATGTGTTTTATCAGTATTTAATTGATCTTTTACATTTTATACTTTTGTTCTCTCAAAAACCATTGATCTTCCTGATCAGTGAAGTTCTGTAATATAACATGTCATTGTTTTCATATATTTAAGTAATACCAACCACAATTTTGAAAGTCTTTATAAACATAAACATATCTTGTGTAAGTCTTGTTATGTAGAATCCTTCCAAAAGTTTCCAAAAGGTTCATGATCATTGAATCAAGATACAAAAAAACTTTATCCACTGCCTTCTGAGTTACTTCCTTGCTGATATTCCAGCCAAGATCGAGAGAATGGCTCTCTCTAGCACACAAGTCTGATGGTGTTGTTTTAATCCAAAATGTGACCTGAATATTTCATTTATAAGTGAGCAGTCTCCTAAGGTTAGCAGCTTGAACCTCTGAGCAGGCCAAGTGTTTGACATTGGTGACTGTGACAATGATCAAAGGCATGAATGAGCTCGTGGGTGACCATTCTGTTCATTTGGGCCGGGTTACGAATATTGTTCTGACACAAAACAATCTGAGATGTTGAAACATCAAAACCTCCACTGATAATTCCATTACACTCGTCATAAGAAAAGTGTCGGGACCAGCAGTTGGCATAATGGCTTTGTTCCTGGACTTCCATGTAGTTGACCACGGTTTGAGTTCTGTACCTGGTAACTTAAACTTACACTGGGTGTGTGTGCGTGCATGCCCCAGATCCCGAGAGGAGAATGGAGGAGAAGGGATTGCAGTGTGGTCATTCCCCCCTGGGGATGATTTCTCGCTTTCTGTCTCTGTCACTCTTTGTGGTGAGCACACACATGTATAGCCAAAATCTCAAAAAAAAAAAAAGAAGAAGAAAAGAAAAGAAAAGTGCTTGTTAACAGCACAGCTAGAGTGCTTCATAGCATCAAGCAGGAGTTTGACATACAGACTTGTGCCCAGTACTTCTCTTGTTGGTGAAGAAGCTGGAGAGGAACCCTGTGGGGGGTGCCCCTGGCCCAGCCATTTTGGGAAGAACTGACATGCTATGTGCTGTTGTGCTGTGGCTGCTTCCCCTCCCTGGGGCCTGGCCTGCGCTGATTCTGAGTTCCTGCCAGTGCCTCCAGCTGTAGCAAGGCGGGGGAAGCTACCTCCTGCAGTACAACCCAGCTCGCCCAGATCCACCCTCACTAGGGCCAACTGGGTCTTACTTGTTTATATTTTTATTAAATAAAAGACTGTGGTCCATAAGGGAGCTAGATCCCACATAGCAATCCTTGTCTGGGACCAGCAAGTGGTGTAGTGGTTACAGCACTGGACTCTGACATAGTCGACTGCAGTTTGAGTCTCAGACCTGGTGGCTTAAAACTCACACCAAGCCCATGTGCATCCGTGCCCATGATCTGGAGAGAATGGAGAAGGGATTGTGACATGGCCATCCCCCCAGAGGGTGATTTCTTGCTTTCTGTCTCTTTGTTTCTTTCTGTGTTTCTGGCAGCACACATATCCTATAGCAAAAATCTCTTTAAAAAAAAAAAATAGAAACCTTGTCCTGGCAGCTTGATAAGCTTAGCAGGCATATGTGCATACGTGGTCAAAATCCTGACAGTAAGGGGCTAGCAGGTGACGTAGTGGTTAAAGGCATTTAAACTTCCACATGGCTTACCATGGTTTGAGTCCTGGACTTGGTGGCTTGCTTTCTCAGTTTATTTCTCTCACTTTGTCATTCTCTGGTCAAATTAAAATAAATAAAGTTAAAAAAATAATTAAAATCCTGACAGAAAGGCATGGCAGGAAAAGGATTGTGTCATGACAATGCTCCATTGCTGGTTTCTCTCTTTCAAGAGTTTATGTA